AGAGGGATGAGCTGGAGTGGCGTCTAGGACAGGAGCGAGGCGTGGAGTCCCAGAGCCAGAGACCCCCGGGACTCACTAGGTACCCCAGGCCCCTGGCTTTAAGAGCAGAGGTCAGTGCCCCCCTCCCACCTGTGGGACTGAGTTAACACCGGCTCCACGAGCCCCGCACACCGAGCTTTCTGTAAAATGCTATTATATAATGAACTAAATTGGTTAAAAGACAAATCTGGTTTGGTTTCTGTGGAGCAAAATGTGTTTTTCTTTCCCATGGTGAAACAGCAGCTCTGCAGGGCTCCAAAAGCATGTCATTCTATTTATTTTATTACACTTTTTATACAGCAAAATGAACAATTGAAAATAATCTATAGTCATGCTTTTGCAAAACCCATTCTGAAGGTGTCACACCTCAAATGTATTGCAGTTAATACTGGTAGGTAAACAAAAAAATACATTCATTTCGGGCGCTTCTGGGGTTTGTTTTTGGAGCGTCTGTTAGGCTGAGATGCACCATGGGAGGAAAACTTGCTCTACAGTGAAGAAAGTTATATAATGTAAAGGTATATGTTAATTCTTAAAGGTTTGATTTTACATTTTGTTTACAGGAGACAGAAATCCCTAAATACTTCTCTAAAGTATATCAAGTTTATCCAATATAATTCAATGTATACTCATGTGAAGTTAAATCTTAAAATGATGTTCATGCCATAAGGTGGCTCTGAGCACTATGCTGATTTTAAGTTTTAGATAATTACATGTTTTGATGTTCTGTTATGATCAGAAGCCGCTCAGTCCAGCATGTCTACTGACACTCACTGTCACTGTTTAATACTGAACACAACTTCACTCACACGTAATATCACCTTCCACAACCACTGATCTTTATTTCATTATTTATTAATTTAACTCTTTTGATTCGACATTCTCTTTCATGCTTTAATAAATTCACACCATGAGCCCTGGACATTTTTGATAGATTTCGAAGTAGAAAGTGGATCGCATAATACTCAAGACCTAAGAAAAGTAGTGGCTTTTATTGCACCAAATGTTATGATTGCATGTTGTGTGTTATAAGATACAATCTGCTGGTAGTTTGTTGCCCTTTAAAACAATTGTATGAGCAGCCATGCACAGCTGCAGCATAAGGACTTGTTAGGTATATGTATGCAGAGTGTATCCCTGCTGAGTCAGCAGAGTGATGTCCTCTGTTCATCTCCACCGGCTGCAGCGTCATAACACGACTCAGCAAAGTAAACATATGCAAAGGTGGAAGAAGTACTCAGTAAGTAGAGATGCTAACTTGTAGAAAATACTCTGTTACAAGTCCTGCATTCAAAAGCTTACTTAAGTAAAGTACACAAGTATCTGCATCAATATATACTTAAAGTACCAAAAGTACATTTCAGAATCATATATATCAAATTACTGGATTAAGATGTTTGATGCATTAATGTGTCTTTCAAGGCTGATAACGGTGGCTAAGCTAATTGTAATTATTTGTTTACTGCTGCTGGATATCTCAACCTATAATTATGTGTCAATGTTTTTATTAGATGACATGTATTTTGTGTTGGCAAACAAACTGAATATGTAAAAGCTTTCAGATAAATGTAGTAGAATAAAAAATAAGAGAGTGGCTTCCAAACTGTAGAAGTAGGATTTATGAAAATATGCAGGTTGAGTACAAGTACCTAAAACATGCTCAAAAGTACAGTATTTAAGTAAGTGTACTTTTTTGCACCACTAACATATACATAAGTGCAGCTTACACACGTGTCACAATTCCCTCTAAAACACACAGAACCAATGAGACAGGTGTTTGGTAACGTTGCTGCAGGATTCTCAGATCAGTTGGATCTTTCAGTGACTAGGCGCTTTATAAACCGGCTGTGTAATCGCTGGACATAATCGCTGCCTCATGCTTGTGTTCATAGAGAAATTGCCGGCTGTTATGTAATCCAGAGCGCTGGCATTCACACATCACTGTTACAGTTACAGTTACAGCACATCGTGGGGACTCTTTGTGTCCCTGTGCTTTCTGCCGCAGTAATCTGTGAGGTGGAATGAATGAATGGGAAAGCGGCTTGGACATGGCTGGATTATCTCTCTGCACTTTAGGCCTGTGTGATTTGCATTTGACATTGGGCTGACAGGGAGGTGATCCAGGGTCAGGACACACTGAACAGCTCATCTTACTGTCGTAGGGGACAGAAAATGCCCAGCCTGCATGCACGATAGAAGAAAGAAATGCCATTAAAAAACGCTACAGTTTCCAAATTGATTAAATCTATAGTTCAAGGATTTTTGAGGGACAGACAGAGATGTTGAGGAATCATTACATGGCCTATATGATTTGTGTATTAAATGAAAAAAAGAGGACTCATAACACTTTCAAAACATATTCATTTGGTGATAGAAACGTGATGTATGGGAGTGTGTTTCAGTTCAAATAGAGTACATTTATTGTCCTATTTATTGAATTTATACATTTTCATTTTGCCCATTAGAGCTATTAGTAACTGTGTAATCATGCCTAATTTAAGTTTTGAAAAAAAAAAAAAATCACCAATGTCATAGAAATGCTTATGTTGAATACACCTATTCGCTTTCTGACCTTTAAACATCGATGACACGAAATGCTACTCTCTAAATATATATGAAGTTACAGTCAGCAGTTGGTTAGCTTAGCTTAGCATAAGGACAGAAACAGGGAACAGCTAGCCTGGCTAAAGCACCAATTAAACATTATGTCTTGTTTGTTTATTTTGTACACATAGGAAAGCAACAAAATAACATTTGCGGGGGGTTCATGTGCCAGACTATTTCTTTGCAAAATAGTTTTCACATTTCATTTTTTAAAAGTGCTGGTAGACAATTCTTCTAAACCTTTGGACAGAGCAAAGCTAGCTGTGTCGTCCTGTTTCCAGACGTAATGCTAAGCTACATTAACCAGCAGCCGGTTACAGCTTCATATCTTAGTGGAAAGACGAGAAAGCCCTATCCATCTTCTGAAGTCTGAATATATTTTTGAGAATCTATACTTAAGCTTTTAAGTTGCTAGAAGAATAATTATGTATTCCAGATTAAAATCTCAGCATTAAATGATTGAAGAAGGAAGGTATGGGTTTTTTTCAATGTGTCCAAATCACCTTTTTTTTTGCCCTGATCAGTGAGCCACACAAGATTCAAGATTCAAGGCTTTTATTGTCATGTGTACATAGCTACAGTGTAGTTATGACGATGACAATCTTAGGTCACAGGCTCCTCCAACAGTGCAACACAACAAAACAGATGAAATAATGCAAATAAAATAGAATAGAATAGAAATAGTGCAAGAATAGTCTATATACAAGTCATTGGAATATTATATATTAGATAGAGAACAAAAACTAAAACCCTTGCGATTGTTTAATCAAGTAAAGCTTTAAATAGAGGCAATCAGAGACATCAATATGTGCTGTTATTAATCGAGGTTGTTGGTAAAGTGACTGTTGTTGTTGTGGTTCAGCTCCGGGACGCGCCTGCCTCTGACCTCACGTTTCGTCTGGATCCGGAGCGCAGACTGAGAGGGCCGGAGGATCGAGAGGCCGTCGCTGCTCTGCCTCAGGTACGACCCTGCCTTCTGTCACGCTGCATGGACATGAGAGCATGAAGAACTGTATCACACTTCACTTATTCTGCTCTGTGCTGGAGTTTCAACATGATTTTAATTAAGTGCCACCACTCGAGAGGAAACAAGGTTTTACTTTAATATCCATACTTGCATTTTCTATGATAGATTGATTTTGCACTTACTTGCTTTTATTAAAAAAATGATGACTAATACTTTTTGTAATGGAAAAAGAAGTAGCATCTGCATCTAGAAACAAGGGTCTCTGTTTGAAATGACTAAACTTTCAATAAGCTCACAAAATCAGACGGGATCAAATAAAACCCAAACAGTTTGTAGATTAGCAATTTCTTTTGGCAAGAATGCCCCAAATCTTACTTTAAAAATGTACATTCATTCCTTATTATTCTGGCAGAATGTCTTTGAGTTTTATATGATTGGTTGGACATGAAGTCTAATATCCCAAATTAAGCATTTTCTACAATTGTCTGACCTTTTTTGTTCAAACAGATTAAGATGAAATATATTTTATTATTTCAATACACGTTTTAACTCTCTCAAAACAAACAGACGAACTGAATCATTGGTGAAGCTGCATGTCCAAAATGACCTAATAGATTTCTTAAGTGTCGCCTACTTAGCTTCAGAAAGTATTTTTAAAATATCACTTTTGCTGACAACATGATTTAAATATCTTCCCTTTACCCTCGTGCAGCCGGAGGACGATGCTCTGCGTCTGGAGGTGCAGCGCGGGGCTCTGGAGCTTCACGGCCTGCAGACCCACGACGTGCCGTGGCCTCAGGAGCGAGCCGTGCTGCAGCAGGAGGTCCGGCTCTTCAGACGCAACACCATCATCTTCTACGTGAAGCTCCGCAGCATCCTCACCAGCTGGAGGCTCGGGCGCAAGGACGAGGGCGAGGAGGAGACCACACGCCAGGAGGTCAGAGGGTTTATACGTTTGGAGGCACTTGTTATTTTCTACGTTTATTTTTGTTTCCCTGCATGTTTCATCATCACCATACTGCAGATCTTTTAAGGTGTTTTTATTTCATCAACTGTATGAAGAAAAGTCAGGAGACATAAGGCCAAAGCTGGGTGATTAATTATCCATAAATTGCAAAAACATTACACGATACATTTGATTACTTAATTCACAAAGCAATAGAGAATATCAGGAGGCGTTTGAGTTGATCAACAGGAATGAGATGTCCCAGAGAAGCGAGTCGTCCTGAGTTCAGTCCTGATTGAAGGTCTTGTTAATTGCCCGGCTGACTGAGCGTCTCCATTTGTTGTTTCTTGTTGTTTCTTGTTGATTCAGCGGTCGGTGCTTCGCCCTTTCTTGTTACCTTCTTGTGCTTCCGGCTGATTAAACTCCTAATTTGTGGGATTCACGTTTCAGTGGTTTAGTTTTTTTCTGGACATGTTAAGCATTGCTTTTCCCCAGAGAGCAGAGAGCATTTGAGCAGCACGGTGAGGTTGACTGAGATACACCCGGTTCCTCAAGTGTATCGAAAACAGTCATTTTGTCATAAAGATAAATATATCTTTGCTTTGTGAAATATTGCATTTCTGTCCTGGATCGGGCATTTTGTATGTACTTGAATACTACAAAGTCTCATAAGAATCTAAATTCTCATGATTACGTCCTGACTATTCATTATTTGTTCATGAAGCGTGTTATGTTGAAACCTTATTTGCACAGATGGTGCAGCAGTGAGACGTCAACTTCAGGATGTTTACCTCCCGCCCTTAACTTGACCTTGAATCCTTACAGAATATTTCTCAATTCAGGTTTATTGTTAAAGCACTTAATCACCGTTACAGTTTCAAAGGGCTCCACAATGCTCCTTTTTAGAAACAGTCAAACTTATATAACACACTACAGGAAAGACAAAAACCCCCAAAAGGCTAAATAGGGCCTTTAACCTCTTAGGCCCGACGGACCCGGTTCCGGGGCCGAAATTGCGTAATTTGCAGGAAACAACGTCTAAGGAACCTTAATATTTAATAAACTATGAATATTTTATATCCATATAACGGGAAAAAACTAATTTAACTGATCTTTTTCATTTTTCTTTTAAAAAAAAAACACACAATGCTAACAGTGAGCCTCTGAATTAGCCCCGAGCAAAAAATGCTAACCTATTACTGCACCGAAAATCACTCCTGACTGGTTCCTGATACCCTATAAGGGTGCAAATCTTTTGTATACTTGATTTGACCTTTGCAGAGTTTTTGCGTTACCACCATGCGCAAGCATGAGCACATCACCCCAATTCTGGCTTCCTGTCCATTTTAGTGTTCATTTAAAGATGTTATTGTTTGTTTTTGAATCGCTTAATGGGCTTGCCCCTCAGTACATCTCCGACCTCCTAAAGGTGTACACCCCCTCAAGGGCTTTGAGGTCGGCTGATCAGCTGCTGCTAGTAGTCCCTGGGAAAAAGACCAGGGGAGACCGAGCCTTCTCAGCGGTAGCCCCCAGGCTCTGGAACGACCTGCCCCCCCATGTCAAATTGTCGCCCACCCTCCAAGCTTTTAAGTCCCGCCTAAAGACACACCTCTTTTCCCTCTTTTTCGTTGGAGCTGTTTTATCGATTGTTATGCTTTTATTGTCTGTCCATAGCCTTTGTGTACCTTGTATTAATTCTTATGTGTGCCTTTTATCTATTATTGTAATATTATATTTGATTATAATGTTATGTTTGCTGTGAAGCACTTTGGTAAACCCCTCTTTTAATATCTGCTATAGAAATAAAGTGGATTGGATTGGATGGGTTGATCCTTGAAATGATAAAAAGACACATAGAAAAGGGAAAAAGCTTCACTTTCATGTGTTTAACCTTTTCTATAAAGATTGTTCTAATGAGAGCGGTTCATCTTTTATGCATGAAGCTCTTTATCCAAAACATAATTAAGGTACAAATCCAACTATTAGATAACATTCACACTTAAACTGCTGCAAATTAAAGATACGCTTAAAATGTCAAACATTAAATGAAAAGGATTACTCTTGGTGTACTTGAAAATGAAAAAAAAATATTTATTTAAAAGTGAAGAAAATTACTATAACTAAAAAAATGTTCTGTTGAAATTTAGCAGCAGTTTCATTTATTCAAAAATAAAACCCAAACTATTCACCTGTGTGACTTTATAATGGTATGAATGTGACAGGATGTGTGTATTAATCCTGTGGTGTTTTTCTGCCTATCTCCCAATGCATGCTGGGAAAAGCTCAGCGACAGTGAGCCTGAATGTGTTGGTACAAAAAATAAATGAGCGCATTAATTAAAACGCAGGCTTTTCGTGTCATCTGTTCCAGTTTGAGAAGTTGGAGGGCATCCCAGAGCTGGGGGTGATACTGGAGCAGGCGGAGGGGGGGGAGGAGCGAGACGACAGGCTGTGTTTACAACAAACTCCAGAGGACCTCCCCGACCCGGGAACCGTCCTCTCGCAGACGTCACCCGACCGACACCTGCCGCACCAGAGACAGGTAAATGTTCTGGTATATGGATATTTTTCCTAAGCAAGGGCTGTATCCTTGTAATATGTAGGATGACCTTATATGTAACCCATCTTTTATTTCATTTTTGTTATACCTGTGTTATTTACGTTCTCAGTGTTATTATTGATTTGATTTTTCATATTCTCATGTTTAATCTTTAGGATTTGAGACCTTAAAGTGGACCTATCATGCTATTTTTAGGCAATAGCATAGGTCTCAGATATATATATAAAATAAATACGAACTGTTTTGGTCTCCATTCTAGCCATGCCTCATATCCCTCCATTTCACTTCCTGTTTCAAAAGTGCTGATTCTGGGTATAAACAGGTCTCTCTTGAGAATGAGACCCTGTGTCTCAATGAGATTTTCACCTGTATAAATAAAGGCTAAATAAAATTAAAAAAATAAGAGGGGGCGGAGCTTATGCCGGCTCATGCAGGGCCTGGCAGACACTGTCTAAAATGCTGCGGTGATGAAACGCAAGGATTATTAGATCAAGGAATATTTCTGAAACAGTATGGAGCTCAAAGGCTTTCTCTCTTGCCGGTTATACCACAAGGTGAGTTCCTTTTTATTTCCTGCTTCTTCACACACATGCTCTCCAGTACAGGTTAGCTCTGAGTGTTAGCGATGCTAATGTAAACATGCACCGACCATATTACGTCCAAAACAGTCGGGCATTGTTTCTGATAGCAACGTTTCTGATAGTGCTGTGGGTCCGCCGCCGATATTACTTCATATCGGCCGCAAATATGGATCAGCTCCGTTGTAGCCCCGTTTTTAGAGATTTGGGTACGGAGGGAAAGAGAGAGGGTTTTATTTTCGGATGCTGCGTGAGTTCCCTGACACACCGGGGACACATATTTATGTATAAAAGACATCAAAAAGTGCATTTTGCATGATAGGTCCCCTTTAACCATGTTGTGACCCCTTGTTAAAGAAACCATTCATCTAAATTGGAGTACTAATGGAAGTAAAGGGGAATGTGAGAAAATAACTAATAAAGAATAAGTTTAAAAAAAAAAAAAATTAGGAATAAGTGCAGTTAAATTACTTTTGAACCTACATTGGACACAAACAGCATTATTTAAATGTTTTGAGTTAATCCATTGTTTTTACCTGATGAATTAGGAATGAATATGATGCAGTACAATTCTACTATTTGTTTTAATATGTTACTCGTCGTAGCTTAGGCAAACAATAAATCTTGGAATCATAAAAACATCTGATGCCATAAAAGAAAGTTTCTGATTAAGTAAAATTATAATTAAATTATAACTCATTTTATGGCAGTTTTATTTTAAAGCTGTAAAGTACTTCAAAGTGCCTCCTGTTGAAATGTACTTTATAAAAACACTTTTTATTAGACTTTTCTTTAAATCAAACTCTCCATACTATCCATCTTGAATAAATGTAGTTTTGGGCGAGTTTGGACCTTTGATTGTTTCTCTCGTTCACTTTCATTGTGTTCAGATGAATGTCTGGCAGCCGTTCATTAGAGCTGGTTTGCTAGGGTATGCAGATGAGAGTTCTGGCCTAGATAACTGGTTAGAGGCAGCAATTATGTTCGAGTACACCCAGTTTTTCATACTTATTGTTTACACACAAATATGGACGCTCAGTGACATGCAAAGGAGACAAAAGGAGCGCCTGTTCCTCAGGACGCCGAATGTTTTCACCCAAACATTGTGTGTTGAGATCTGCTTTCAGTGTGTCTGTGGATCACTTATCCACTCTGTAAAACTACAGAAAGTACAGTAGGCATTTTGGGTCGGATGCATTATTAGGCAGCTTTAAGTACTTTCTCCCTGTGTTTTGATTTTGCACGACATCAGAGAAGCTGTTTGCACAGTGATATAACATTGTTTCTGTTCTCTGTGAGTTCAGTTTTAACAAGCGTGCACAGTAGACAATATTATAAGCTTTACGCATGAGAGCAGAAATGCAGACTTAGTTGCTTAGTAAGCATTTGAACACGATGGCTACTACCACGGAGCTGAGGATAATTCCTGCAGGCAGAGTGTGATAGAGTATGTTAAGCTTAGAGAGGTCATTGAAAGATTTCAGTTAGGAGATGCACGTGATTTAGGCAGTTAGGCATCTGTGTGTCAGGATGTATTCCCCTCTGGTGCTGAAGTGCTAAAGTGTGTGTGAATACTGTCGATGAGATGAGGTGTTTACCAATAGAGATTGCATGATAGAGGATTTTGTTTCAAATTGTCCTAAAAAACACTTCCATTATTTGGATAATCGTGAATATACTCACATTAATGACTCAAGCCCATACCCACCACCCACCTGTTTATATATTTTACTGTCAATGCCGTTTACACTGTATATATTCATCTGTTTATAGCCTATTTATAATTATTCTATTTATAAAAATTCCATGTGTAATTATTCTCATTATGTAGACTCCTGCACTGCTGTTTTGCACTTCTGGTCAGATGCCTAAACTTACATTTCGTCACTAGCACATATGTAATGACAATAAAGTTGAATCTGAATCTGATTAATGACTTGAAAAAGCTGGCTGCCATGTGAGAGAAGTGAAAAATAAAGCCTGGTTTTAAAAACACATGAATTTTGATGCAAGAAAGAAACATTTCTATGTTTCTTATCCTTTACCTCTTCAGGGCGACCTTATGATCTATGGTTTCCTTATTAAAGATTACTTTGATTTTCATTAAAAAATGTGTTTGTCTGCAATGCAATAACATTTTATTTTCTTTAGGTAGGTCCTCACAGAGATATAACTCAACACAACTTTATTTATGTATTTATATAGCACATTTTATACAAACATGAAGCCCAAAGTCCTTCACAAAAGAAAATAATAGGAAGTATTTTATTAAACAAGACAATCGGATATCTTCGACCTCAGGATTCAAGTTTCTTCAACTTATTGAGAAAAGCTTTATTGCCTTGTTAACTCATCTATCAAACAATATTTGATTGTCTTTCTGTTATTCCAACAATCCCTTACTCTGTTTTTTTCAAAATGAACCCTTAGCTAGATATGGAAATATATTTGTTTAACGGAGACAGACCATTCAATTGGCAACAGCAACAAACAAAAAAACATCTAGTGTATAGTCAGACAATCGCCAATATCGAATATAATTGTCCAACCATTATTTAAATCCGTTCATTGGCAGGAGACAAGGAAGGGTAGATTGGAAAGGACAAGGGTAAGGAAAGAAAAAGGGGACGACATACTGTATATGGGAAACAGGATGGAGAGCACAATTTGATTTAAAAGCACTTACTGTACAACACAGGTTCATCCCCAAGTGCTCAGAGAGAAACAAAGGACACAGATAAGGAGCTTCAAGGTAAAGACAGAACCTGCTGAGCTCACTCACACCTGGATTAACCTCTGCTAAATAAAAAGTATTAAAAAACAAAAAATACGACACCATTGTTGTGCAATAACACTTATGTGTACTTGGTTAAAATTATTATTATTGCTGGCTGCCTTCTTAGTTTGGCTATTTTACTACAGTAACAGGAATCTGTGAGTGCAATATATAATTCCTCCTCTGTTATTTAGCTTCTACCACACTTCATTATACATGCTCCACTTCATTTACTCCATAAATACTGCTGCTGCTGCGTTCCTATCCGAATGTGTACTTTGTAAATTGTAATAACTTTGAATTTTCTGTATATCTATTATCTAATAATGCTTCATTTTTTGCTGTAACCATGTACATTTCCGCTCTGTGGGACGACTAATCAGAATTCCTTTATTAGCCCTGCAGCGGGGAAACTTAAAGCGTAACAACAAAAGTGACATAGCAGATAAAAGGCAAGCAATAATAAAGTGGCTAACATGTTAGATATAGAGATGCACACATTGAAAATTATATAAAAATAAAGACAAATACGTACTCATCCCATGGAAGAAAAAAATACGTGTATAAGCATTAAGGTAATTGAACATGAACATATTAACGTCTAAGATACTAAACGTAGAAATTATAATGGTTATTGCACAGTAGAATCACCAAAAGGATAGATAGAATGGGAGGGATGAAACCCCTCTTTAATGGTCACACATGCAGAGCCCCCAGCACACACAGTGACATGTGTTCTCTGCTTTTAACCTATCCTAGTACCAGGAGTCTAGTACTAGGAGCAGTGGGCAGCTATTGCACAGCGCCCGGGGAGCAATGAGAGTGAGGGGGGGAAGGGGGGTGTCCGGTGCCTTGCTCAAGGGCACCACGGCAGGGCAGGAGGTGAACCGGGACCTCTCCAAGTAGAAGTCCACACTCCATATTTAGGTCTGGTCGGGGGCTTGAACCGGCGACCCTACGGCTCACAGTCCAAGCCCCTACTGACTGAGCCACTGCCGGTCTATAGGGCACGTTACATGTGTATTGCACATGATCTCACAGTCTGTATTGTGTGTATTGTCTGCCAGGGGTCGTGGTGGTTGTAGAGCCGTTGTGGAAGGAATTCTGTAAACAGGTTTAAATATCCTAATTCTGGGAATTGAAAAGAAAAGTGGTTTAAAGGTCAAAGATGGGTTTGGGTAACAGTAACACAGGGGATTGTCTGTCTGGGGATTCAAAATGGATGAAAGAGAAGGATGAAAGGAATATAAAAAGGTTAGAAAACGGTCAAAGGAACTTAATTTCACGGGAAGACTAGGGGTAGAGGAATGTGAGAATTCGGTTCGGGGTATTGTCAAATATCTGGAACAAACCAGAAACCTGCAGGTCCGCTGCAACTCTGACTACTTTTAAATCCAGGCTGAAGACTTTCTTGTTGCCGCTGATTTTAATTGAACTATTCACATCTCACACGGCACTGTAACTGTTATTCATGTTTTATTATCTTTGGTTTTTAATGTTTCTAATGTGTTTGATGCTCTTAATGTCTTCCTTTTTGTAAAGCACTTTGAATTGCCTTGTGTTGAAAAGTGCTATATAAACAGACTTGCCTTGCCTTGATTTTGAAATGATTGTTCTCTCCTCTCTGCAGTTCGGGGAGAACCGGCAGGTGCTGCAGGCGGTGCGCACGCTGCTGGAGGACGTGAGGGCGGAGCTGACGGAGGAGGAGGCGCGGCGCTGCCAGCTGCAGACGAACTACGCCAACGACAAGGCCGCCTGGGAGGTCAAGTGGGCCGAGGTGAAGAGCCGCTGCGGACAGGTACAGATGGCGACTCAGCGTCCTCCTTAAAGGGACAGGACACAATCTGCTGTAGAGACTAACGGGGCATTCATTAGGCTGCCAGTTGACAGTAAACATGTTCTCCAGGGAGGAAATCCAACCCAGGGCAAGGTGGTAAGGAGATGAAACAAAGGAATATGTATTTGTTGTTAAGCCTTCTCTCTGGGCTGTAGTTTTAAAGTGCAGAAATTATATTCAAATTCAAAAGTTTTATTGTCATATGAGCTACAGTGTAGAAATGGCAATGGAATTCTTCTGACCTGAGCTCCTCCAACAAAAATACAAAATAAGAAGTAGTGCAAAAAGTCTTTATACATGTCAATAGAATATGGGATATGTACAAGAACAGAATATGAAATTAAATAATGTAAATTAAGACTAAATTAAATATGGTTTATTGCAGTGAAGTTATTCTTAATAATAATAATCACTAGAAGGGTTGGGAGGGTTACTTTAAAAATATAATCTGTTCTTAGTTACCTATGATAACATGTGATCAGTAACCTAGTTTTGAAAGTATCACAATATAGAAGTAATTAACCTTTCTGTTCATTTTGATCAACCTCAATATCAAGATCCAATGCAATGCAATAAATACAAAATAAATATCAAATAAGATGCAGCAACAATGATATGAAGTTGGGTCCTACAGAAAGGGGCGGACTGGGACTAAAAATCAGCCCGGGACTCTCGACCGGCCCACTTTGGTACCGCAAGTAAATACCGCTAGTAAATTGTCAACGGGGGGGATTCCGGCCCACTTCAGTACCGGCCACTGCCTACAGAACATAACAGCTTACAAAGAAGAAATACAATCTCTTTTGCAAAAGACACAATATGCTCTTGTTTACTACATACTGCATTAGTTTGTATTTGATTACTGCATATGGATAAAGAGAGTCCTCTGTTTTGCTGCTGTAAGGGAATACAACCTGTATCCTGATGACGTAATCCCGTTACATGTAATCCGTTATTCCCCGAGCTTGATCACCAGTAACAAACAAATGGACAGAATCCAATTCATAATCAACATTTGAAAATGCAATTAAAAAAGGAAGGGGCTGCTCTGAATGAGACAACACAATGATGAATCACCTGCTCAATCATTCAGCACGGTGCCTCTAATCATCCCTTTGTGAACTCAGAACAGCTGTTATCTTTTACAAGCACTCGTTATGGGAGTTTGTATTTGTAGATTAGGAGCAGAGTATCTTCATCTGAACCTGATAGGAGTACATGAAATATGATTTGAGTTCTGTTCTGTGTCACTATTAAAAATATTTTGATTTGCGATTACAGTAAATGGCTTTCGAGATTTCAAACAAACTTTAGTTGATATTTGCTCAAATTGTTGACATAGCTTGGATAACATTAATGTAGTTCTCAACACCTTAAAAATAGCTTCCTATTGAGTGGCGTTAATGAGAGTGCAGCTTGCAGGAAGTTAAAGAAACAGACTTCAACTGAGACTTACTTAAAGGTCCCCTATTGTACTCTTTTTCATCAATATATTATAGGTCTCAGATATATACAAAACATGTCTCTGAAGTGTTTAGGCTTGAAATACCAAACAGGTTATTGTAGAATCCCATAATCCCCTCTGTTTCAAAAGTGCTGATTCTGTGTCTGTAGCTTTAAATGCTAATGAGCTGCTGCTGGCCACGCCCCTCTGAGGGATGATTGGTTTAAAAATACACATGCTCTAGGAGGAGATTCAGGTGATAAAGTGGGCGGTTATTGGCTAATTGTGAACAGGGTGACATCACAAAGCGGCCAAAATATGATCAGCTCATTTTCTGACAGGTTTGTATATAAATAGATGGATCAGGAAAAAAATCACACCACGATTTAATAATGTATTTTTAAAATCATGAGATTAATGAGGCGAGAATTATCTATCCATCCAATATCATGAGACATATCGCAATTGCAATATCAGTCCATATAATCAAGTTATTTTTCCCATATCGTGCAGCCCTGATTTCTATACTGAGTTTACTGACACCATAATTTCACCTGGCACATTTTATTTGCATTGTGTTTTAATTGAATAGTGAATAAAAATGTCAATACTAGGTCTGCAGTGAGAAGTGGAAGTTTGTTTGAAGGTCCCCTATTATACTGTTTTTCATCAATATATTACAGGTCTCAGATATATACAAACATGTCTCTGAAGTGTTTGGCTCCAAACACCAAACAGATCATTGCAGCATTACCCGTAATCCCCTCTGTTTCAGCCCTGTTTCCAAAGTGCTGATTCTCTGTCTGTTACTTTAGATGAAAATAAGGAGCCCCTCCCCACGCCCCTCTGAGAGAGATTTGGTTANNNAGGTGAGAAGGGGGGGGGGGGTTACCTTGGTTGCTGATTGGCTAATGGTTGCACAAGACAAAACATCGTTATGACATCATAAAGAGGCCAAAATCTGATCAGCTCATTTTTAGACAGGTTTTTATAGAAATGGATCAGGACAAAAAGAGAGAGAGAATCTTTGTTCCTGAAACTTTCAGAGTCTCTTTCCACAGAGGGGACACATGTTGATGTAGAAGAGACATGAAAAAGTGGATTTTGCATAATAGGTGACCTTTAAAGGAAAGTTAGAGCAGTGTGACGAAGAAGGAAATGAAGTCGATTATGTTTTGGAGCCTCAATGTCTGCTTTGTCAGATTTTGACTTGAGATATTCTTTCCCTTTAAAGGGCAGAGCACGATCCGGATCAACAGATCACTGTGGGGGGAAAAGGACAGCACACAATGAATTTGAGGATATTCAATATTTAGTTTCTCGTCTTAGAGGATTTTGAAACTTTCCTTCCGAGATATATCTGATGAAAAAGTAACTGCAGCTTTGGGAACCAATTAAGATCAGTTTGATTTATAGAAAGAAGATTATCTTTTGAACTCCCATGCTCTTAATCTGAAAAGCTTTTACATGGTTCATATCCTCCCACAGAGCAGAGGTCGCTGAGGGCTTCAACGAGAACTAATTTACTGTCCTCTGATAGCGCCATGTTGAGCTCTTCTCTCCCTCCACGGTGCTTCGAACTAATTAAGACTTCAGAAACAGGCCCCCAAACTTCTGGATTTCTACTCAGGATTATTACACAGCCCAGCAGAGCGGAGCAGAATTTGAAATTACCTTCACCTGTGTGTGTTTATATTTTGGAATAAGGGTCTTTTTGAGGTATTAATAACAGGCTGGCTCATGTCTGATACTCTGGTTTGGCATCATTTAAAGCATCCTAAAAAACGGTCTATATATTTACTATATTTATAATGTCCAACATCTTCGCTTTTAAATTAGCAGCCACTACTGTACTAGTTATCTTCTCCAGTACACGTTTTCAACCCGATATGAAAGTATGCAAGAAGAGCATTTGTGAACGAGGGTCATTTTAGCTGCCGTTTGAAGTCAGCTTGCTCCTCGACTTGTTACTGTACACCTTCAAATTAAAATATAACATCAGACTCCATCAAAAGATTTCTTATTCTTTAAAATGTGGCACTTTTATCCTCAATATTTAAAGTTTATTATTTAGCTTTTTTGTCATTTCACTAGATTGCACAATTTGATTGAACCCAACTAAACAAAGTATAAAAGTCAGTTTTATTGTCAATTTTTCAGTTTGTGTGTACAGACAGAGAGATCGAAATACCGTTTCCCACAATCCCAAATACAAATATATATTAAAATATGTATATCCTATATATATATCACAATCAACAGACACATTTATACACATGCACACATTAACATAAAAGCACAACAATCAATATATACAAAATAACAGTCACTTCAATATTTGAGAATGTACATTAGTGCCAAATTGTCCATAGCAGCGTAACAAGTGTCTGGTGCTTGATTTTGAGTGTCTGAGTGTGTGTGGAGTGTTAAAGTCCAGTGGGGAGAGAGGGGAGAGAGTTCAGCCTTGAATCAAATCAATTATATTTTCTGCTACAATTGAAGCCTGTTTGATTTGAACTTGATACGTTTCTCCAGTGTGTAATCAGAAACATTTCCCACCTCGTATAAACCAAACAAGTTGAGTGTTGGTGAATGTCTGTTATGTAAGCTGCAGCCTTGACTTGCTCCACACGCTGCAGACCCAGTTTGTACCATTATGTTGCGGCGTTAAAGCCATCTGAAGATTACAAAGCTCGGTTCTTCCAGAGTGGCGTTCCTCCGACGCTCTGCAGCTTTGAAGATGTCTGCAGTTCATCTGAATCCTCGGTTCATGTCCTTCCTCCAGAGACCGGTGTGAAGAATACATTTGGGAGGGGAGACCTGACTCAAGTTTTTACTCTGTGTTTCTGTCGACTACAGAACAACTCCTGGTGCTTTGTGATGCCTTCTCCTAATCTCATTGTACTTCTTTGTGAATAGAACTAACTTCGTTTTTATAATGTGTTAGAAGAAGACATGAAGACCTTAAAAAAGCCCATTTGGTGTGTTGCTTCCGGTACCAGAAAGTTAAGTTTGAGAAACAGATGTGTTGCAAATTGCGCATCGATTCAATATTTTAAGATAGGACTTTACAGCTCTGGAAAAACTATAACATCAGCATTTATTTGTATCTTTTTTCACGACAATTGCAAAGTAAAGAATAGAAATTCAGCATTTTGCATATTGCAAATTTGGCAGATGCTTTATACAATCAATCAATCAATGTTTATTTATATAGCCCAATATCACAAATGTTACATTTGTCTCAGTGGACTTCACAGTTTGTACAGAATATCAGTATGACAATACGACACCCTCTGTCCTTAGACCCTCAAATCGTACAAGGAAACACTTCCAGAGAAAACCCACAGTTTAAAGGGGAACATGGGAGAAACCTCAGGGAGAGCAACAGAGGAGGGATCCCTCTCCCAGGACGGACAGACGTGCAATAGATGCCGTGTGTAAATCGAAGAGATAATACATTTACAGCGTAGGCAGACCAAATGTTTGGAAATGCATGTGTCTATAATAAGAAGATGAATCCACGAGGATGTCAATCCTGTGGGAGCCATCAGGGAAGTAGTATGATGAGAGTCAGGCAGGACCACAGAGACAGGTTCAGCCACGACTCAAATCCAGAACTCAGGATAGAGGATATGATCTTCAATTTATTTTTCTTTCTTTTAAAAACATTTATTCATTCAAACAAAAGAGTTTCCTACAAAAATAGTTTCTCACTCACCTCAAGATTTAGGAAGTTTTGGTTTTATTTGCCACGATCTTGAGAAATAAACCTGATTGCCAACAATGGAGTTTAGAACAATTGCATGTAAAGACTCAGCAGTAGCAACTCCTTCCAGAAACAGTGTTCTAGGTACTCTGTATTATACCAAAGGTATTATACTGCAGCCAGTTTATTTAGGACTATTTCTTCAATTCCAAATAATCCAATAATTCTAATATAAATTATGTTATAAATTCATAACAACACTTTTTCTTTGGCTTCATTACTTATTGTTATAGCATAATCATAACTTTATAATGACTTATTAACCCAACTTCTGTGTCTTTGCTGTTCTTTATGTATAAATGTGTGCATATGTATAAATGTGTCTGTTGATTGTGTATATATAGGATATGCATATTTTTATATATATTTGTATTTTTGTATTCAGGATTGTGGGAAACGGTATTTCGATCTCTCTGTCTGTACACACAAACTGAAAGATTGACAATAAAGTTGACTTTTGACTTCTTCACCAGCCGGACGAGGAGGTGGAGGGCGAGGTGCGAGGAGAAGCTCAGGGAGGGGAAGGGGATCCGGATGAAGACCCCGAGCGAGAGATGAATCTGGAGCGGGACGAGCACCGGCGGCTGCTGGCCGACAGCCACAGCACGTCTCTGGACCTCAGCTGGAAGCTGCAGCACGGGGAGAAGAGATGGAGCCGAGAGAGGGGCGAGCTGCTGGAGCGCCACGACCAGGAGAGGCAGGAGTGGGACGGCAGCATGAGGGAGCTGCACCGCAAGATGGAGAGGGTGAGGGGGTCTTAGAAAAAGATCACTCGTCACCGGCTTGAGCTTCAATATCAGGACACATGTATTTGTGATCCTCTCCAGAATGGAAGTAGTCATCACATACAGAGCATCAACTAGTTCCTGAACAGTGTCCTTCACATGCTGACATACAAGAGAGGGAGTTAGTTAATCATACATCCTGTCATGTACAAAATACTGANCACAGTCACAAGATGGAGGAATAGAAAGCAGTATTCAATGTTTACTTCAGATTAGCTCCAGGTCAGAAATGATCATGCTTGTCATATGTCTCTCTCCATAGAGGCTGAATCATCATGTTAATCACATAGCTATCATATGCCTAAAGCAGTCCTGATGCTCTTCTAGGTAATCACACATCCTGTTACATACACAGCTACGTAGGGCCTTTGTTATCATGTGCTACTCTGACATTGGAAGAGTACATTCAGTATTTTCCCAACAGAGGATCTTATCTTTTTATTCTATGAAATCTATCACACATCTGTCCCTCCTCTGTTGCTCTCCCTGAGGTTTCTTACATTTTCCCCCATTAACTTTGGGGTTTCATTTGGAAGTTTTCAGTGTGTCGTATTCGTATTCTGTACAAACCATAAAGTCCCCTGAGAAAGCCAATGCCAATCTCCATCTCTTCAGAGAACACCTTCATGGGTGTTGCTATGTCTAAAGGTAATAATCATTTTACATTCACATGCAGCAGAGAAAATCAGATTCAGGCTAAGATTTACAGCTTAACATTTTGAAGAAAAATAATCTGAACTCGCAGCCTTGAACCCTTTTGAATGAACTGCTTAAAGGTGGGGTGGGTAAGTTTGAGAAACCGGCTCGAGATACACTTTTTGTTATATTCCATGGAATGCTCTTAACATCCCGATAGCAATGAATATCTTAAGTGCTTTGACAAAAAATCCATAAAAAAATGTCATCTGTGGAAGCCGTAATACTTTAAAAAGCACGACCAATCATCTGAGCCGGCCCGGCTAAAATAACTGGATGGCCTACCTGCCTGTCAGCCTTCCATCTGTGCACAAATGTATCTCGTGCCCTCATTGGTCATGTGCGCGTTCGTGTGTGTTGGAGGAGGGGCTCTGTAAGGAAGTGGCAGATTTTCTCCGGTGTATTATTAGGGTTGCCAGAAACTGACCATGATCAATCGAGCCGGTTTGTCAAACTTACATACCCTACCTTTAAGGTCTAAAAGTTTGTACATAAGCAAGAATGGAACACAACATGAAAGTGAAGGAAGTGCTCTCTTTATTTAAATGTGTAGTTAAATTAAAATAGTGTCCCTTGGCTGTGAAAGTTAAGAGTAGTTTTAAAATTGAAAGAAAAGAGAATATTAAATAATACCTTTGCAATAATATCTATATTTGAAGTTGATATCAAAGTGTATATGGTTTAATAAGATACAAACATTCATAGGCGGTCAGTGTGCAGCGAGGGGTTAGGATTTCACATTTGACGTCCTTCTTCCTGGTCTCCTTGCCAAGAAGCAGCACTGGTTTAAAGCCAATGGCATGGAGTTTCTCAAGCTGTAATGACAAAATAATATATTTACTGTTTAAAGAAATGGAAAGGAAACATCAACAACAACAACTATATAACTACAACTATAACATTACTGATCACATTATCTAGTTGTATGCCATTCATAAACCTAGATGCTGAGTTAAGCTTTTGCAGAATCATGTATGTGTCCGGGCCTTAACATACAGTAAAAAGTGTACATACCAAGACAATGGCTTCATCCTTGATGGAAGCAACGTTGTGGTTCTTCTTCCGCCCTGACACCCAACCCCCTCGCTTCTCATCAAACCTCTTGAGCTTCTTCTCAAGGCGCGTTTTTTTTGGCTGCTCCTTAAGGCAATGTCCACAGATCTTCTGTGCACAAAATAAAATGTTCTGACAGAAGGGACATGTATTTTTTGTAGACCCACCTGGCATGATTAACACGGGATTACAAACAAACAGACAGACTGACAAACACAGGAAAGTAGAGAAGTACACAGCATAGATAGAAGGGTGAACAAAGAAATAGATGATAGATATAAGAGAGCTAGATAGGGAGATAGGGAGATAGGGAGATAGGGAGATGGGGAGATAGGGAGATAGGTTGAGTTTGGCTCTTAAAAGTGCCGTTGGTTTTATGATGGTGTAGATCAGAGTATGGGTTTGTGGTGTGGGTACGGGAGCTGCAGGAGAGAACAGAAAAAGTGAATTATGTAGTGAAACTAGCTTTTTTAAATGCACATTGTGACGGTTTAACTACTTTAGACAGACTGAGTTCATTTACGTGTTTCCTGTTTCATACGCGTAACAAGCACATGAACGTGGACTATGCCCCTCCCCCCCAAACATATATGAAAATGTCGGCCAGCGTTAGTACTGTCATGTGTAAAACAAAAGCGATTAAGATAACGTATAACTCACACTTTAACACCGACGTATGTAGCCGTAATTAAGACAAATATTTTTCACACACCACTTATGAGCTGATATAAATGTAGCTAAACTAGTTTAAGCTTATGTTGAACGTGAGCTAGCTAGCTAGCCGCCCGCAAGAATAATTTCACATTAATGTTGCTTTGCTGATTATGGCGAAAGCATTTCTCAGACTTAGAACAGTTCAGTATGTATGATGAACCATGCGAGTAAAGGCTTAAAAAAAAGCCCCAATTATTAAATCTAAGCAAAACATGTATCAGACTTTAGTGACCCAACTTACTTTGTCAGAGGATGGATCGCAATGCCGGTGGCAGCGTCTTTGGCCAATAGGTGGTGCTCTGAATGATGTAATTTCCTGTACCGATTATACAATAAAATATTAATACATTTCCTATATTTTGACACGATAACTCTTTAATAACCTAAGTAGCCTACGGACAAAAACAAAAAAGTATATATTGCCTTATAAAATGCAGAAAAGTTTAAACATCTAACATGATAATAATAAATAAAAAATAATGATATCTTAAACCAAAATAAATAAAATGGAAAATTAACCGACAACAACAATTTAACATAAATAAAACAAGGATTAAAACAAGGATAAGTTTGACTCAATGTTGTGTAAAGTACCCGTTATGGTTAAAAAAATATTTTTATTTTTATTTTTTGAAAATAATACAGCTTCCAGCTTCCCGAGACACGAAGAGGAGACACGAACAATTCTTCCACTTGAAATGCGTTTAAACTGTGTCAGAGAGATGTTTAATCGGTTCATTTTAATTGGTTAATAATTGGTGTTTAATACTGGCAACTTCTAATTGTTGGGGGGGGCAGCGTTCGATCCAGTTTCGATTCCGTAACCTTGGCGCACTGCCACTCCAACATCCAATCCCGACTTGAAGTTTAATCACGGGGACTGTAGTCCTAAACGATAGCTGGGGATTATGGGTAGTGTAGTGTCTTCGGCCATCCTAAACTCGATGATGCTCGAAATGTCCCTTATAGGCCTACGTCTGTTTCCGGTTATTTTTATTTTGAAATTCAGTTCCTGAAGGACGGCAAAAAAGCCCGAGATTATAGAATTAAACAAATAAATAAAAACAAGGATAATTGTGTGTTATTGTTGACTAAATAACAGTGTGTTATTTTGAAAAGAATAACAAATTAGAAGGAAAAATGAGCCCCATTTATTTTCCTCACAGACAGCAACAAAAGTCCGAAATGATACGATTTTAAATAAAAGCAATAATCGTGGCTTGATATTGAGTAAGAACATGTTTTTATGAACCACACAGCTTCCGGTCTTCCTATAACACGTAATGCCGTGAGACTACCAACATAAATACATTGCTTTTAAAATCGTCCGGTCTACCTATAACACGTAATGCCGTGAGACTACCAATAGAAATACATTGCTTTTAAAATCGTGCTGTGCAACACGAAAAAAAGGGGAAAATCGTGTTGGTGAACACGAATCAATAGATTAAAAATCGTGTTGGTGAACACGAAATGCCGTGAGACTGGGTTGCGATGTACTAATGATGCGCCATGCGGACGTCATAAATGTGCGTCTGCTGTGGGGAAACTACAGTTTTCTATACAGCGGACTACATGGATGTATAATAAGAACGGCAGACTACTGTAAACGCATAGAACACTTTGCACCGTGCTCTTATGGTGTTGTTTTATGCTTCATGAACGTGGGCAACAGAGAAACATATATTCTTCTTGACCAAGGTTGGAATTGAAATAAAAAGTAAAGTGAAACTTATGCTTGTCACCCTCACCCTCCGGTCCACATTAACACAAATGATCCCAATACGTATGATTGTATGAAAAGCTCTTAAAATAAATACAAATGTATTTATTAAAAACATGTTAGTCCAACCTATCACTGTATATCACCATTAAACATGTTTTAAAACGTTTAAGAAACCCCACGCAGCTGACTGAGCTTAGTAAACCCTGTGAAATGTTGACTTTATTTGATAATTTCAGTATAAACTAACGTTCATATTTCTCCTTTTGATTATTATAGTGATGGACGTTCAAAACAAAGCACTTTGGCAAGTTACCGCATACGTTTTAAAATGCTTAAGTACTGTAACTTGCATGATATAATTTCTCGGTCATAATCGGTTGTTTCCGTTAACGGCGGAATGTTGTGTCACGGTAAATGTTGCGGCCGCAAGGTATTGGGAGAGCATTTTCTCCTCTCCTTTCGTAAAGGAAGGTCCAGTGTTTTCTAAGCTAAATTAGGTTATAAAGGAAGTTTCAAACCTCCTTTCCTATCATCTAGACTAGAGAATCTCGATAAGCAAGCCTCTTATCATCGATGGCCACTTTAAGTACTCTCGGGTCGCTTCCTCCATTAGGAAGGTTCCTAACGCTAAACTGACAATTTCTGAAGCCACAACCCAGAACCTAACTAGCTACTCTATATTTTTCTAATCAGTCTTCAAGGGGCCTCATCGGACACTTAACGATTTTACCACGACTTCAGCAGCGTCCAATGTTATGCATAAAAACCTCAAGAGGAAGGAGAAAAGTGTTCCAACGCATCTTCATTCCTTTGTTATTCATCTAGTCCAGTGGCCTTCTCAACTTCTCTTGTTTTTAAATTCCTCGCTCCTCGGTCTCGGTCTCCACGGAAGTTGACATCTTGTCTGGGGCCATGCTTGAGTAGGCGTCCCAATGGCCTTATTTTTGCAGGAGGCCGAGGAGGGGCGGATTAAATCGGTAGGACGCTATAATCCGAGCGAGCACCAGACCATCCTTCCGAATGAAACTGCTCAGACACTCGGCGCCGCCCCCGGTCCCAGGCTAGAATACTGCTGCTTACCGCGCCGTCACTGCGCGCCTGGGACGATGCGGGCATGCACCGCTCTGATGCTCTTGACAGAGCAGGCGGCAGCTCTTCGCCCAGCGGAGTGAACCGAAAATACATGAACTCCACGGGTGTCACTCCTTCAAGTTTACTACCGTGTTTCTGTTTCACATTAATGAATCACTCTCAGTCTAGTTAACAAACCTTCCCTGATATATCCTGAACAACAAAGTGGTCAAAAAAAAATCGTTTTATTCGGTTTATTGGAAAACGATTTCTCAAGATTCGCTTTTTTTTCGTCTTAGCATTTTTTCTTTATTTTCATTTCCAATTCAGGAGCTTCAGCTCGTATAAGTGCTATCTTCACTATGTTAATCTTTTTTTGGCTACATACGTCGAAACAAACAAAGTGTGGGTCAATCGGCAATGAAATGAATCAAGCTGGGTCTTTGAACGATACACATATGGACTTTTTCTTCCTCTCAACAATTCATTTTATTTCTTTCCTGTGCACTCTAATCAACTCACTTAATCATGCCACTAATGTTCGTCCTTATACATTTTAACGCAATGGCGTTTATCTTTTTTGAGAATGAGTTCTTATTTGATTTTATTTAATTTCGGGTGCATTACAACGATTGATACCCTGAACCCAGCACTCACCAGAACTCGTTTTCGCTGATCAAATGCCCCAGGAAACACTCTGTGTCGACACCTCTCCTCCCCACCACACAGAGGCACGCGGCATTAGATTTATGTCGCACAATAACGGAGTGCGCGCGCGATACACAGAGCTGATCTCTAAGTACAAAAAGACACAATCAGGGACTAGGACAGTACACTCCACACACAATATCGGACTCGACATTTACCGCGTGGAGGTACCATTCTAGAGAGACGGAGAGCACGCGAGACGCCTACACATCTCATTTGCTCTTAAAACTTAATTTCCTCCTGCTCTCGTGGTTTCCTTGGCATCTCTCCATGGCTCTCCGCTGTGGACTAGTCGCAGGGAAAACACCGACGCAAGTGAGGGCGCGCAAGGAATCATTAACCGAAGTGACGCGCCCCCCAGGTATCTG